AGGAACATCAGAGCGACAAGGAGCCTCAGTGGAGATCAATGGGCTCTGCTCTTTCTGCTGTTTTATTGCCACCTTAATGATTAAATTGTGTCCAATTAAGGCGAGCTGGAAAGCAGCATCCCTGCCCGCAGTTGTCAGAGTTCCCTCTGTGCTGTGGCACTGGAGCATGTGTTTAATTAGAACGCACTAAAAAAGCCTGTAAGAGAGCGTTTTCTTCATGAATGTTAATCATTAGTTGGATCCTGACCGAGTTGCTCTTAGCTGTTTCAGAGTATTGTTGGATTCCACGGACTGCCTTTTGAAGTCGCTCAGCTCAGGGAAAACGCTTCCACATGTGGGCATCGTCAACCTTTTCCTCCTCGGTTTCCTTAAACGGAATCGTCTACTTTTACAAACGATCTGCTCCTATGCCCCTCACAGTCGAAGGCTGCTTGTTTTGTTATTGCAGCCTCATTGACGTCTCAGTTGCCATTCGGGTCTGGAAATGTACAGGAAATGTTTTGTTGTTTTTTCCCCCCCTGAAAAGCAGACTTGTTTGATTTTTGAGGAAGTTTGAGGCAAAAATCCCAGATTAGAGAGGTGTCAGGTTTATGCGTTAGACTCGTCAAAAGTATGAGGTCACAAACTCAAAATTTAATCAAAGGGAAATCGATGGACACCAATAGGGTGTTTTGATTCTTCTTTTTGGAACTGGTTTGAAGAAAAACTTGACAGTTTTAAAATATTAAACCTTCACTGCAGAAATAAAAACAATTTAAAAAAGGATTGATTCAGTTAGAGTTGGTTCAATGCTTTGTATGTTTACATCTATGCACATCAGACCACACATGACAGGAGTCCCCCCACTCCTTTTTGCTGATCCAGTGCTTTTGTTATCAAGTGTGTAGTGTAAGAGCAGCCCATTCATCCTGCGCCTGCTTTGTGGGTAGACAGCCACAGGCTTTTGTTAAGTTGTAATGTCCTCAAATAAAAGGGCTTCCTCCCTTTAACAGCCCCAGGAGCTCTGTCGCGCCACTTTCCATTGTTCCCAATGAGGTATGGCTTTCACAAGTAGGTGGGAGGGTGTCAAATCCAGGCTGAAAACCATGACCCATCATCATCATATGTCAATAAAATGTTTGGCAAAACAATTACAGATTGGTACGTGTATGATAAAGTCAAGAAAACAAGTGTATTGAGGACGGATTAAAAATAGAGAATGATATGCTGGGTTTCAGCCGATTATGAATAATACAACACAAATAAATGGACAGAAATTTGGTGTTTTTAATTTCTACGGTAAACCAAAATCTGTAAAAATACACAATTAAGACATTGTTTTAATGCACGGATTTGATTCAATGTTATCACAAACAATAACCTAAAAATGAAAAAAGACAGTCTTACTAGAGACCCAAATAAGCACGGAGCAAAAAGAAATTTTCAGACAAACACAAAAAGTTTACGTGTAACACAATTTTACTACCAGTTTCATCCAATAAAGTTCACATTTTATTCATTGTTTTTCCCCATTCAGGGCTCTGAAGAAATGCACTGTGCATTTAATGCATTAAGGTGAACATATACTCTTTTTGATGTGGGGGTTTTGTTGTAGTCTTATGAACAATTATCATTTCATCTGTTCGCTTTTTCAAACCGCCTCAATTAGGAGAAATCAAGTTTAATTCCAGTCGAATTGATGAGCTAATGAGTAGTCTGAAAGAGGCCAGGACTGATCCGGTTGCCATCAAGTTGAAACAACTCCATTTGAAAAGTTAAAATTTTTTATACAAATTCTATTTTATAATTTTAACATTAGGTTTTCATTACATGGAAATATTGGGAAATTTCTACCCAAAGTGCTCTAGGCTGCACTGGAAGTGCTACAGTTAGCTGCTGCTGCAGCTATTTGAGCTTGTAAATAACTTATCTGTAAATAACCACGTGATGCAGAAGTGACAGAGATGTGAAGGTTTATAAAATAGTGTTTGCATGAACCAATATGATTTTTTTTTTTTTTTTACTGGAATTGTTTTGGGAGAACAGAAACCTTACAGAGTGAGTGAAAAGTCTCAGGACACACTTTTATTTCAGAAACAAAAGGGATAATGAAATACCTGAATACCCCAGCAAGTAATGGGTGAGGGGGATCTTTTAGACTATGTCCAGAACATGAGAGCCAAGCTTTTCCCAAAGATACAGTAGGCCCCCTCAACCATTACTTGCTGGGGAAGTCAGATATGTCAATTTCCCTTATCTGTCTGAAATAAAAGAATGTCATTTGCCTTTTGACTCACCCTGTATGTTTTGGCCCTGCCAGTCTTTAACTAGTGAGTCTGGTCTATTTTTCCAAATGAAGGCTGTTCAAAGAGCTATTTACAATAAGTAAGCTATCAATTGTTTTCTTATCAAACCCCAATTTAAAAGCTCTAAACTATCACTTTAAATAAGTGATGCACTTTTGTTTACTGAGGAAATAAGCAACATCTCTGTTCTCATAATGTACTGTTTATTTATTTATTTATTTATTTATTTATTTATTTATTTATTTATTTATTTATTTATTTCAATTAGCTGGATTAGCTTTAATGCAGCTTGCTTTGGAGGGGAATGGATGGTATTATTTCTCTTCTCATAGACCAGAGGTGCCCAAAGTGGGGCCCACGGGCCAAAATTGGTCCACCAAGCCATTTGATTTGGCCCACAAATACTTGCCCTGGTTACTAAGTTGTAATCTCCTGTCATTATGTTTCAACACACATGTGGATTTAAACACTAAATACTCAGATTTGATCAACTTATGAAATGTCCCATGAGCCTTTGCTGCCCAAGCATGTCAAACATGTATTATATTATTGCATTTGGCCCACAGCCCTTGGATAGATTTTCATTTTGACTTTCTTGGGGAAAATGTTTGGGCACCCCTATCAGACTTTGTAAAGAGTTATTTGGTTTAGCACAGTGACCTCAAGTTGGCTATTAAAAAGTGCCTCTTCTTATTGGACATTGTAAATTCACACCAGTCATTGGCTTTTCTGTTAAAAATGTTTGCATTGTTTGCTTGTTATAAAGGGGATATCCACAAATACTGGAATCAGTGACTTCAAACTACCACTCATATTGTGGTTTTTAACACTTTAGGTCAGTGGTTCCTCACCTGGGTTCGATTGAACCCTAGGGGTTCGATGAGCCGGTCTCAGGGGTTCGGCAGAGCCTCTGCCATGGAGGTAAAGACACACTTGTGTAAAGTTGTGATGACACGCCCCACTTGGCCATCACTTGCTGCAGAGGATCACGTGAGATTGCTTGGCCAATCAGTGCATTGGCCCCAAAAGTATTTTGT